GAATGTCTGTCTTTAACTTAGAAGTGGGTAAACGAGATCTTCTCCACTGACACTTAGCCACCAAATCTATACCATATCTAGGAGCAGGCTCCCCATGAAAAGGCCATGAAATTGGCACTGTGTACTGTGAATGACCCACAAAAATCCCTTTTACTCGCTCACACTTAGGTAGATCCCTAACCAGATACAGGAAGAGCAGTGGATGTGATATACCTTGACTTTAGCAAGGCTTTTGATACCATCTCCCACAACATTCTCACAAGCAAGCTAAGGAAGTATAGGTTGGATGAATGATCTGTACAATAGATAGAAAACTGACTGGATCATCAGGCTCAGTAGCCAATAGCTTGATGTACACTTGGCACATGGTATCAAGTGATGTGCCCCAGGGTCCTGGGGATGGTTTTGTTCAGTATCTTCATCAATGACCTGGAAGATGGGATGGAGTGCACCCTCAACAAGTTTGTGGATGACACCAACCTGGGGGGAGTAGTAACATACACTGGAGAGCAGGGCTAGGATTCAGAGACCTCAACAAATTGGAGGATTGGGCCGAAAGAGATCTCATGAGGCTCAGTAAGGACAAGTGCAAAGTCCTGCACTCAGGACAGAACAATCCCATGAACTGCTATATGCTGGGGACCGACTGGCTAAGCAGCAGCTCTGCAGAAAAAGACCTGGGGGTTACAGTAGACACTAAGCTGAATATGAGCCAATAGTGTGTCCTGGTTGCCAAGAAAGCTAATGGCATACTGGGCTACATTAGTAGAAGCACTACCAGCAAATCAAGGGAAGTGATTATTTTTCACTATTTGGCACTAGTGAAGCCACATCTGGAGTACTGTGCCCAGTTTTGGGCCCCTTGCTACAGAAAGGATGTGCACAAATTGGCGAGTGAAGGGGATGGCAACCAAAATAGTTAAGGGACTGGGGCATATGACTTCTGAGGACAGGCTGAGAGAACTGGGTTTATTTAGTCTGGAGAAGAAAAGACTGAAGGGGGATTTAACAGCAGCCTTCCACTACCTGCAGGGTGGCTCCAAAGAGAATAGAGCTGAACTGCTCTCAGTGGTGGCAGATAACAGGAGCAATGGTCTCAAGTTGCAGCAAGGGAAGTTTAGGTTAGATATTAGGAATAACTTTTTCACTAGGAGGGTAGTAAAACACTGGAACAGGTTACCCAGAGAAGTTGTTGAATCTCCATACTTGGAGGTTTTTAAGACCTGGCTAAACAAAGCCTTGGCTGGGATGATCTAGTTGGGGATGGTCCTGCTCTGAGCAGGGGGTTGGACTTCCTCAGGTCCCCTCCAACACAAATTCTCTATGATGTTATGATATCCTTCCTATGATCCTTGGAAGACACCCTTTCTGTCTTGCCATGACTTTCTTTTGCTCTGGGATCTCTGGTCTACATTGTCAGCATTGCACCTTAGGAAAGCTCAGCAGTACTTTTTACTGGAGACTTCTTGGGACTACCTTGTTAGCCTTTGTGAATGTTGTCACAGTTACTCATATATGTTATGATTCATTTTGGAGAATGCTTTTTTCCACATGCATAAATACCCTTTTGAGTCAATTCAGCTACCTCTTTTTTATAGCCAGATCAGGTGACAAAGCTGCTCCTCTCTAGATAATGGCTACTCTCTCTGTCAGAAGAGTTATGGCCTTCTCATTAATAGACAGGAAGGAGCTGAAAATTTAAAACAACAATAGCTAATTGCATTTCAGTTGGTAAAGCCATTGAAAAGGAAGGTATCAAGGGGAAGAAAATTTCATACAGAGATGAATGGCTGTGTCTCATTTGAATTGAAAGAATAAAGAAGAGATATGGAGGGATGTATAGCACAATTTGGGGAGCAGGAAGGTGAGAAAGGGTGGGGGGAAGGACAAGGCCTTTCAGAACAGCAGACAACCAAAGGACAAGATGCCCCAAGTCTCAGTGGAAAGCTGAATGTCCCTACAACAGGCTATAACTTTTCTTCCGAATACCACAGATGTGATGTGGATTAATCCTGTGAACACCTAGAGAACTCATGAGGATGCTGTTTGCATTAGAGCAGAATAAGGAATTTCTGTTTTTTTCATATTTTGTTTCTAAAGGTACCAGATCTTTTTTTCCTTGCATTTTAATTTTTTCATGTAATAAATCTGTTCTGCATGCTATCTCATTGTTTTTTTCTCAGGATAAGGCTGATTTCAAGCTGGCTGACATCTGGTGGTATACCACAGTGGTTCCCAACCAGTCTGCTGCAGCTTCTTTGAATGGTACAATGTCTGATCTTCCTCTACATTCATACTAAAACTAGGTATAGTTTCTCTCAGTCTTTTACCATCATTTCTTAAATTTGTATCTGCCCTGATCTAGAAAGCTAGTATCCCAGGTCTGCAACTGTACAGAAAATTCTTCTTTCTGTAAATGCCTTTCAGAAGTCAAATATCCCCAGACCTTCCTTATAACATCAGTCCTTCAGTCTTCCTTTGACCTTCATAACTTTTGTCATGCCTTTGCCATACTTCTCTAGGGATTTCACTAATGATTATTTGAACCACCATTATTCTTACATGTCTTGCTAAAATTGAAGGAGTTATACCCTCAATTCAATCTAGCAGGAATCTATCACATGTCCTGATGTGAAAGATAGTCAGTCTTTCTCCCCTCACTCATCAGGATCCTTTTTTAGCCTCATATCCATTTCTCTTTGTCCATTTCTCATTCCTGATGTTCATTTCCATGACAGAAAACACATTCTATTCTCTAGGTCTGCTCTGATAACTGACTTTGACACATGGAGATACCTCCTAGTGTTGATGTCTGCAGACCACCTTACCATCTGTTCTTCAAGGGAATCATCCTTGTTTCCCTTTAATGCCTGGCTCTGTGTTCTTTCTCCCATTTATTCCTCTTCCCTTGTGAAGCTAGCTGCTCCTCCTCTTTTTTTCTTCTTACCTTATTCCTTATTTCTAGCTGTTTTTCTTTAAGGGAACAAACTGGGCCCTCATTTCCATTTCCTTTTCATAAGCCATTCCACCTCCTTGTTCTTGTTCCAAAATCAAGGCCTTCCTTGGTTACCTTTCTTCACCTACCTGCCAGCCTTCCTGGACCTCTTGTCTGGTAGGCTGCTGCAATTCTTGAGGTGTCTATTCCACCTCATCTGTCAAGTCCTGATATCAACCTGGACTTCACTATCATTTCCAGCTTCACATTTAATCTTCAGATTTATATAAACTCTATCAGGTGACAAATCTTGCATATATGTATACAAGTGTCTTCCATCGAGTATTCAGGATAACATAACATCTTGCAGCTTCTGTATATTAGTCATCTCTGCAATTTATTGGATCACCTCAACTGCTGCCCAAGTAGCAATTATCATTTTCTTGTCCTTAACCTTAAAGAGGACCTTCCCCATTAAATTCTATCCATTTACTGCTCTTTGTTCACTGATTTTCCTAGTTGCAGCTTGTTTTCTAGGCTTTGGCCAGCTCTGTCCCTGTATTTAGATTCACAGTCCACCAACCGTGATCACACTCATAGCTAAAATGTCTCTGGTCTCCTTACAACATACAGGGCAAGTCTACATGAAGTGCTATGTCACCATAATGACAGACGCAGCATCTGTGGGGGCCGAGGGGGATCCAGGAAAGGGTCGGCTGGGTTGTGGCCACAAACCCGGCACGTACAGATGGGTACTTTTGACCACTGGAGTAGAATTAGGCACAAACGTGTACTGGTTCAAACAAAGATGGCTTTACTTACACTGTCGAGATGTACAGCGTAGGAAGAAAGTTAACTTCAAACTTCAGTTACAGTTTAACCGAGGAGCTCTGATTCGACGAGATATCTTTGATACGAGCATGCAGGACACGGGGGGTACGTCGGGGTTGGTCGGCAACGGGGAGTCGTCAGCGGTTGATCAGTCCGCCACGTTAACTCCGAGATGGGCGCGGAGTTCTCCAACTTGGGCGGAAACTGCTCCAACCTTTTATACGGCTAGCAAGCCGATTGCTAGTTGTCACGGAGGAATAATTTAGAACCGGCCAATAGTGTTCTCCACCGTGCCGAGAGATTCCCTCGTACAAAATCTCACCGTGCCTTGTGCTAGAAAGTTCCACTGTGCCGAGGCACTCAACCACTAAGCTCTGCCCTGACAGCATCAACAGGCCCAAACCTTGATGCCACCAGTACTACACACTAAGGTTGGAAACAACCCATGAGGCACTGGGACTGCAAATACTAAATGACTGCGCAGTAACAACTGTGCAGTCAAGTGTTCATGTAGATGTGCCCATAGTTCCCAAACAATTTTGAATAAGATCTTTTTTCTGGATCAAATTCGGTTCTAAATTAATTTATAACATTGTTACACCTTGGCTATATTATCCACTGTGACACTTTATTAGTGTTTCTGAGAAAGCTGTATTTAAAAATAGCTCTGGCTAACAATGGGCATGTCATAACATTCCTTAATGTGCTGTAATTATGGCACATTAAGTTTAGCACCTGTAATAATGGGTACTAACTTAATGCACTGCAGTAGGAGCTATTGCACAGTAGCCCAGCTCATACTTTTTGTGATGCTAATGAGCAGTAGAATTAGTTTACTGTGAATTTAGAGTCTAATGTAGACACACCCAGTTCCCCTTCCAGTGTAGGCAGAACCTCAGAGATCATCATTGAGGACAGGGCTGTCCAACTAGCAACCCATGGGCCACTTTTGACCAGAGTTCTTGGGCAGGCCTCGATCTCATGCCTGGCTGCTGCTGCCCTCATTGCTCCAGCTGCTGTGAATGACTCACACAGTGGTGGTGACGGGGGGGCTTGCACAATGGGTGGCGGAAGAAGGTGGCTTGGCCTGCTTGCCTGGCAGTAAAGGAGAGGGGAAAGGACGGGAAGAGGAATTGCCCATCTGGTGGTGGCAGTGAGGGGGCTTGCACAACTGGGGCAGGGGGGAAGGATGGAGAAGGCTCTCACTGCTTGTGTGGTGCCGACAGCAGGAGTGCTCAAGTAGTAGTAGTGGTGGAGGAATCACGCTGCTCCCATCGGGGGAAAGCTGAAGGTGGCGGCGGTCCCAAGAAGCCAATGCAGCCCCAAAGACATGCTGCTGGTGCAGTGTGTAGCCCAGTGCCTGCAACCTGTGTGGTGTGCAATCCCCAACTGCTCTGAAATCGAGCAGTTCTAATCTAGGGTTAAACACATTGTTGAACTGGCGTGGAGAATAGCTACCACAGCGTATCAAGTAATTTAAATTGTATTTTTCCCCAAACTTTCACTTTTGAACAACTGAAAGCAGTTCAAAATGCTATGACAATGCTTTATATTCTCACTTTCACATATACATATGTTTCAAATATTTATCTCTACATAAAATGCAGAAATCTGTAGGAACATTCCATTTTCTTTGTTTAAATCAAAATCAAATATTCATCCTATTCATTCTCCTATATTTTAAAGCAGAGTATGGTCTCTTAAAGCAGTGGTGCCCCCTGGACAAAGGGTGTGGGGTCAGTTCACAGGCCTGATCCAACATATGGGGATGGAACATGATGGGGCCCTGTACCAGATCGTGCCAATGGCCCCATCCTGTGCAAAGGGCCATATCACATGGCTTGCAGGGCTTGGCAATTTGGTAGTGGGGGAGCAGTAGTGGTGTTAATTGCCACTACTCCCCTGCTGCTAAATTTCCAGATCTATAGGGAACGCAATGCCATGGCTCCACAGGCTGGATCTAGCCCACAGGCTGGAGGTAGAGCACCACTGTCTTGAAGCACACCAAAATCGGATTTTCATTTATACTTTAAGTTGACAGTCATGCTGCACTCCTTCTGTATTTCTGTAACCTTTAAAAGTAATAGATTAGCAAACATACATATTATACTGAAGAAAAAATGAGCAGTTAAAGGAGCTCAAATTCAATTTAAAAATCCTCTAAATAATATCTAATCAATCTACTAGGGGGTCATATTCTTCACTGGGAGGGAGTTGCACAACAAAATTGATTGATCTGAATGGGCACATACTAGGAATAAATTTGACCTAAAATCTACTCCAGATTAGCACTTAAATCACCAGGTCAGAGTTATTTGTACTTATTTTTTTCTCCTACAAAATGATTATAAAAAATAATAACTACAGTAATCTCTGTACTTCTCATTCATTACATATAAAAATGCCAATCATGGGGCCTTTGATTTCAAATAAGCTATTATCAGAAAAATGGATTCATTTTAAATCACAAACATTTTCATTGGAAAGTTTGAAAATAATACAATAAAAAAGCAATAGCATGGTAAGTTAAGGAAAATTTATTATTTCTATAAAGCTTAGATATACCAGTATTTCAGGGAGTGTGTCTCTCTCAAATGTCATCGGCTTGTTGTATTAAACTGTGTGAAATACTGTCCTGTTGGACAATTTGAATATACTTCTTCCTGAAGATAAATTCTCCTAGTAATAAATCAAGTAAATTCAGTTAGTATATATATTTTTAACTTTCCAAATGTTTGATATCATAGAAATAACCTGAAGTAGAATATCATATAGATATATTGAACACCTTTATGTGTTAAATTTAGTAGTATTAATAAAAAATATAGCTGTATTAAAAACGGTCTTCAATGCATATGAATTGTCTCAAGATTACATAATAATTATTTTTCTAAAAATGTTTCCAAAATCTTGTAATGCCAGTGTAGAGAAATCAGTATTACATGAGCCTCAAAATTCTAGAATGCTAATTTTAAACTAGGAAACTATGTCAAACAAAACCAAATCATGCACTGGGAGAAATCAAGAGAGTTGAAGATTAGTAGCCACATTGGCTTATTCTGATTTTCTTTTAAACAAGCTCTTTTTAGGGTTGTTTTTTTTTCCTTTTACATCTTCAGGGCAGGCATATAGACCTTTCCCTTGATTACTGAAACACTAGTTAGATCTTTTTGGCAGAGGTCTACTAAAGGTGGGGTAGATTTGCACCTTACAGACTAATTAAAATCACAAAAGCTCGGGCTGTATAACTGATTTAGTCTCTAAGGTGCAAATCTACCCTGCCTTCTGCCTGACTTCAGAATAATAGGCTGACTATCTCTACGTCTACACAAGACACTAAATGCACAGTAGACTAATTCTACTGTGCATTAGTGTGTCAAGGCAAAAGCCATGCTATTGCACTAATATGCAGTAGAATTAATTTATTGTACATTAGCATCACTTAAAAGGCATGCGCCAGTGCTACTGTGCTACAGCGCCAGTTACTGTGCATTTAGTTAGTACCTGTTATTACAGGTACTAAACTGAATGCACAGTAATTACGGAGCATTAATGCATGTGTAGCCCAATGGCTTTAGTAGACCTCTTTCTGCTCATAGAGGTCTACTAAAGCCACTGGGCCTTATTCTGATTTATAAACTCACACAGTTTTACTTAAAAAAAGAAATTCTGATCCTTTCTAATTCCAGGAGACTGAATTTATCAGGTGGACAAGTATTCTTTCAAGAATACTTATTACCACACATTTTATTGTATTTATGATCCTTTTTGACCTTCTGTTGCCCACTTTTTTATCCTGATACTGCTGTTTGTAACACTGAACATAATGCTTCCCATTATGCTCTCAGGCAGAATACCACTGATACTTGACCCACTGTACAAAATGTGTGATTTAGGAATAAGCATATCCCACTACTATTAAAAAAATTATCTTTGGTTTGCTACTGCAAAATCCAGACACTTGGTCTAAACTGTTGTGATTTCTTAAACCAGTGACACAGATTAAATAGAGCAGACTATATTAGTTGAGCTGTTGTGTCAATGG